CAGTAGACGGGGTGGGGGCCTGCGCCTTAAGAGACTCTGGGGCCATGTTAACTGTGGTTCAACCTCACACTGTCAAGGCCCAAACTCACACGGGCCGCACTGTGGCAGTAAGGGTAGCCGGGGGTGCCATTCACAAACTACCTACGGCTAAAGTCCTTGTGGATTGGGGCTCGGGATCTAAACAACTGGAGGTTGGCATTATGCAGGAGCTACCAGCCGAAGTACTGTTGGGGAATGATGTGGGCTGTTTAACTTCCCAACTAGCCCGAGACACCGCGTCTGAAGCCTACCCGGTTACCACCCGAGCTCAAGCCAGACTGGAAGCACCGCCGCACTCTGAGGAAACCCAGGTAGGAGTTGAAATACCCCCTTTACCCGACCCCCCTTCTCCGTTCTGGGATACTCCCCAGGGGTTTCGAGCAGGAACAAAGGACTGACCCCACTCTAGACGGGTATAGAAAAGCGGTAGGGAATAATAGGGGCAACAACCCACACGAAAGGTTTGAGTGGCACAAGGGACTGTTGTATAGGGTGACAGATGGGGCGGGACACGGGACCGCCCAGGTTACTAAGAGGCAGCTAGTAGTGCCCCGCAAGTTTCGGGCAGAGTTATTAAGACTCAGCCATGATATTCCCCTAGCCGGACATTTAGGGGTTAAGAAAACTAGAGACCGGCTGACCCAAACCTTCTTCTGGCCCAGGGTCACTCAAGACCTTAAATACTACTGCAGGACCTGTGATGTTTGACAGAAAATAGGGAAAATGGGTGACCACCAGAAAGCGAACCTTCACCCGTTACCCATCATAGAGGAGCCGTTCCACCGCATAGCGGTGGATTTAATAGGACCCCTCAGTCGGCCCAGTCAGTCTGGTAAAAAGTTTATACTCCCCGTAGTGGACTATGCCACTCGGTACCCCGAAGCCGTGGCCCTCCCCAATATAGAGGCCGAAACCGTAGCCAAGGCCCTGGTCAAAATATTCTCCCGGGTAGGTTTTCCCCAGGAGATCCTATCCGACCGAGGGACTCAGTTCACAGCTCTCCTGACGCAACAACTGTGGCAGAGCTGTGGCGTGAAAGCCCTATTTAGCGCTCCATATCACCCTCAGACCAACGGTCTCTGTGAACGTTTTAATGGCACGCTCAAGCAAATGCTAAAAACGTTCGCAGAGTCCTGCAGGAACTGGGAGAGGTATCTTCCCCATCTTCTGTTTGCCTATCGTGAGGTGCCCCAGGCATCCACGGGGTTCTCCCCCTTCGAACTCCTGTTCGGGAGAAAAGTTCGGGGCCCCCTGGATCTCGTACGGGAGCACTGGGAGGGCAACACAGATGATGGGGGGATCCCTATCGTACAGTACGTACTGGAGTTCCGCGACCGGCTGCGGACTCTCACCGAATCAGTTCGGGAGAACCTGCAGGCGGCTCAGGACTGCCAAAAGAAGTGCTACGACAAGGGTGCACGAGACAGAGTCTTAGACTTGGGCCAAAAAGTGCTAGCCTTGAGACCCACCAAGAAGGATAAGCTCCAGGCGGCATGGCAGGGGCCCTTTAAGGTGGTGGAGCGGATAAGCGATACCACCTACATTGTAAGTAAATGTTCGGATGAAAGACTGACCAAAGTCTTCCATGTAAACATGTTAAAGCCCTATTACGAGCGAACGGAAGATATCGGCACCGTATGCGCCCCCTCTTCCGAAGATAGCGAGGGGCTCCCTCTCCCCGATCTGTTAGACCCCTCACCCTGCAGTATTGACCAGGTCAGCCTTGGAGGGGAAGTGTCCGGCCTGCTCCGGGAATACCAGGTCATGTTTTCTGCCATCCCAGGCTATACCTCCGTTGCGGTACACCGGGTAGAAACCCAGGGAGAGACGCCACTGCGGCAGCAACCATACTGTATTCCCGAGGCCGTGCGTGAGAGCATGCTGGCAGAAATTACCAACATGCTCTAGTTAGGGGTAATAGAACCCTCTCAAAGCCCTTGGGCATCTCCGGTAGTACTAGTACCGAAGCGTGACGGCACCACACGCATCTGTGTAGACTACCGGAGGCTCAACGACCGCACCATAACGGATGCATACCCCATGCCCAGAATAGATGAGTTAATGGACCGAGGGTAATTACTTGACCACTCTGGATTTGTGCAAAGGATACTGGCAGATCCCCTTGGAGGCTACAGCCATCCCCAAGTCGGCATTCGTCACTCCTTTCGGGCTTTACCAGTTCAAGGTTATGCCCTTTAGAATGAAGAATGCCCCGGCTACTTTTCAGCAGATGGCTGACAGACTCCTAGAGGGACTCCAGGA